GCTCTAGTTATACTCAACTTCACTGAACTTACAACATCACTTTTTATTCAGAAATGGTATATTGGATGCCACAACAGCATCCCTTGTCTTAAAACGACTTATGTATGATGGATATAAAGATGACAGCACTGTGCTACCTGGATATAAATTTAAGGTAGTTAGGTGTCTAAAAAATACTACCATTCTAGTTAATATGCATTTGTCCTTCTCTTAAGGTGGTGCACAATGACATTATTCTACAGAAACAAAAACGTATTGCTTTAAAAAATACGCTTGTGGAAGATTGTTTGGTTTCAACCTCACCCCCCGGTTTCTCTTAAAATTCTAGCTAAGGGTAAAATAATAAACTTCATGTATTTCCTTTTTGAAAGCTGCCTCCCCAAGCAGAGAAGCAGAGTTAGGCTGTTCCAAAAGGAAACCAGATTAACTATTATTCGGAGTGCTTGGAAACTTTGAAAAATTGAAAAGATTTACGAAGATTTTCGACATATTGTTACAGTAGTCTCAATGAGCTCAGAGTTTTTGACCTGCAGGTTTGTGCCTCACCCTTAAGGCATGAGAGTTATAGCAGGTTTACTAAAGCAGAATTCAAGCTACAATAGATGCACTTAAAAGTTTTAATCTGACATTTTAAATTCAGTCACATTTAATCAATTTTCTCTTCTTTCTCTCTTTTAGATTTATGTTCCTGTGTATAAAGATCGCACTATAGAAACGTTTGCTACACTATACGACTCCAACGATCAGGTAGATTTTATTTTGTTCAACCATTTAACTGTCTTTAAAAGATTGGTGGTATCATAACCAGGCTGGGCAGCAGAATAGGTGACAAGATGAAAGTCATAATCCAGGAGTTTCATTCATAAAATTTATAGCTAACTACTCCAGTTTACCATAATTAGCCAAATTAATTGGGCTTAACAACTGATAACAACAAATAAACAACTTGTGAGGGGCAGCTGGGAATTTGTGTCTTTTTGTGTGACATCAGTGAACTGAAATAATTTCTTATTTAGTAAAATGATATTGCTTGTTATCTAAACTATATAGGTAAAGCACACATTCAAGGCCCGCTGTCATGGCGCTACAGATTCAACCGGTGAACCAATAAATCAACTGACGAGAAATGGAAACACTCCCACTGGATTAGTGGTATGACTGTCTTTCACATTTACTTGAATGATAAAATGGTGTGATACACAGCTTCTGATTTTGTTATTGGGACACTTTCAGGAAACTATATAGATCATGAGGATTTTGCTACAATTTTGGTTAAAAGGGTTCTTAAAAATTATAAAATTACATGAACATGACTTAAGCAATTGACCCATACACTTATTAAATGCATTGGATCATGTGCACTAAAGGCATCCACAGTCAAGTGTCAATCGATCCACTCGATGGATACCCGCGATCTACCCTAGATTGATACTCAATCGACACTCCATTGACACCTCGGTTGACACTCGATCAACATTCCATCGACATCTCGGTCAACAATCGACTAATTTTCAATTGATTCATATGAGTGGGTTGACACTCAGCCGACTATTGGCCAACTGTTGATCAAGTGTCAATAAAGTGTCACCCAAGTATCGATCAGGATGTCGATCGACTATCGATCGAGACATCGATCGAGGGTATCGATCGAGAGTATCGATCGACACTCAACCACAGATGCTTTTAGTGAACATGATCCAATGCATCTAGAATGCCAAAATGACAATGTGTCAAGTGAACTGTCGAAAGGAAAACCAATGTATGATTGATCAGCAGCCCCTGTTCTGGAACATAGCCTTCTATCCTCCCCTAAATGCAATCAGTGGTTGAATTTGAAAATAGTCTGTCCAGTTGTTCAAATTTCAGATTAATACCTTTTGCCTGCATAACTTACTGCACCTTTCAATAACATGTGGACTCTAAAATCAACCGACAAATGCGTTTTTTGCTACAGTCAATCAAATGTGAGGGTCCCCTATACCTCTGCTGAAAACAGTTTCACGCAAAAGTAATTGGCCTTTTCACGCATCACGAAAAATTCGAAAAACAGCTTCACGTTCACAGAAAAAAGTAAGCAATCATGTTTCACGCGAAAATGCAAAGGCTAAATCATGTTTCACGTAAAAATACAAATTCTATTCACGTTTCACAAAACATACAAATACAATCATTACAAAAATGTATCTGGCAATACTGAAATGTACCACAGCAGATATAGCTGCACATGGCCATATTTTGATAATTTCAGACTCTTTCGTCGTCAGCATGTC